GAAAGGGAGCCAGTTAGAACAGGGTTTATCCTAGGCAAAGAGAGAACTAAAACCACAAATCTTAATAATTAAAGCATCTTGAGAGTTTACTTCTGAGCAACTGCACCCCGTCACAATGTAAGCACCAGATTTTTAGTCTAACCAGAACAGGATACCAAGAGCATGGTCTAGCTTATAGTGTTTGTTCTGTCTGAAAATTAAAAGTTTTTCATTAAAAACCTTACATTATCGGAGTTTTATCTTTGAGACGTAGGGTTGAAATTTTGCCCCATTAAGCCATTTAGAAGTTGCTATTCTAGGGCTTTAGAGGTGGCCATAGACTTCTGCAACATTTGACAGCTTCCGGATTGAATTCCATAATGAACACCTTGCCATGGGTTTGCATAAGTGGTAGCAATCCTTTTGTTCAAGCTATCACCGTCCTTAATGTGAGACAGGTTAGAACTTAATTTGTACTTCTCTTTTTCCACCCTTTCTAGAGGGTCTAACATGTTGTTCTAATATCAGAAAGCCAACCCACATCTAAAAGTGCACAGAGCAACAGGGTAAAGAATTTCCTGACTGAGAAGACTTCCCAAGACTGGTAATTGGCAAATAATGTTCTACCCTTCAAAAAAAAAGTGTGAAGAAGGAGTCCTTTTAGTATAACTTCCTGCTAGGCAGCAGAGAATGAACTGGAGACATCACAGATGTCTCTTAATGTTTTAAGAGTTAGGCAGCTCTGTAGTATAAACTCTTTCCGAAATGGTACTTTAAGAACCCTGCTGAGAAACAGATCTAGTTATTCCAGCTTCCTCAAGGGTAGCAGCGGGATGTGACAATGAGCATCTTAGCCCCAACCTGCTTAGTGGATGCTCTGTATTACCTACAGCAAAACAAAACAAAAACAAAAACAAAAAACCCTACACAAACAAAAAATTCCATTCTTTCCAACAGCAGAGTCTTTTACAGCTCTAAAATGCATAAAAGGAAAATGTTAAAAGAAACTCAAGTGGCTTTCAAGTATTAATGTCTTGTTTACGAGACAGAAGTCATACATGACATGAAAAATGGGGCACCAATTTAATTCTCAAAGTAATCTGATTAAAGGACTTGTTATTTGCTATTGCACACTATTACAGTGGAATGAATGGGAAAAGATAACTGAACACATCAGAAAATCAAAATAGTTCTGTGTGAGAGGCAGTGTGAAGATTTTCAGAAGATGGCTAATTCAGCACTTTTTCATCTTGCCTTTTCAGCTTTGCTGATACATCCTGAGATCCCAGGAAGCACAACTAAATTTCTCTTTTGACAGGGAAACTTGGCTAAGTATTTCTCAAAATTTTCAGGTGGAGGGAAACCATTTTTCAAACTAATATAAGGACACATATGAAATACACAATTAACTACAGCTGTTCGTGCATGCTTCAGTGCCAAAAAGGAGATTTGGGGTTTCAAGTCTGTTCAAGGTACTCTGCCAGAAGGTACTGAGGGTACTCAGAAGGGTTCTAATCAAGAGCCAGAACTCACCCATGCCATCTAGTAGGGAGATACGAAGCGAAAAGATATCCCTAGTCCAAAGAGCTTACAGTCAAAATACACGCAAGAAATAATGAGTGGATACAGACAAAGAAGGAGGATGCACAAAAAGTCCCTGAAACCCAACAACAAAAGCAGAATAAAACTAAAACCCTAAATTACTTAACATTAAAAGTCAGGGACTCTGCATTCATTGGACAATTTTAGTTTCAGTGAAGGAACACTTTTGAAGGAGCAACCAGTGAGGTTTACAGGATGCTTCTCCCAAGTGCATTTTAAGTGTTATTTCAACAGAAGTGAAGCAACTTCTGTCAAACAACCAGATTCAGCTCTTCTACAGAATAAATCTGGAGGGCTCATTAAGTCAAGTGCCAGTAGATATCCAATTAAATTCTGGGTTTGAGGAGATGAAAACAATCTGCTATTTGACAGTCTGCCAAAAAGGTGCAGCACTGGATCAATGTTCCATTCTAACCAGATGAACACACCCTTCATTGTTCTGGACTGTGTGAAGCAGAGACAAGTCTTTACAAGTGTTTTCTCTCTCAGAATTTCTCAGTGTACTCCTCACCAATGCAGTTCCCCTACTGGTATAAACAGCGGTAACAGCATGATCTTTTTTTTCTTTGTACAACCTTAGCTGTTTATCGCTCTTCAAGGCATGTTTTTGTGACAATCTTTCATATCACAGCTTCCATATTTGCTACAACTAAGGGAACTTAGGAACAGCTGCCCATTCAAACCAGTTTGTGCTTCCACCATATCACATTCCTCTTTGCTTCTCGCTCCTTCTACCCCATCATACTGGACATACTGGCTTGTTGTCTGTAAGGAACCTTTCAGAGCCCTCACCACTAGCCGTGATCCACTTGTCAGGTTTGGTTTATTAAGTTGCTGACTTCATTATTTAATCAATGAATTGGGGAATTTGTCTGTCTCCTAACAAAGCACTTTCTCCTTTCCACCCCTAGAACTTTTTTGCATTTTGTTTCTACACGTACAAATTACTGCCCCTTTGCCTCACCTGGGCAAGTGATAAGCTCTTGATTCAATTTTCCCCACTTATTTTTACTCTTATTCTGCCCTCTCATCTCACTTCCCCATCGTTAGATCCACCTGGTCGATTATGCGCTCTCATAGAATCAATTTGCCATATGGCATTGCGCATTAGCCAGGCAAGTAAAAGCAGGACATCTTCAACCACACAATGAAACCTGTACTGGAAGGATACACTTATGATCTAAAAAACACTAACAAATTTTTCCAAGTTGAAAAGGAAGCATCAAACTGGTGAATGTGTGAAAACAACTGTGTATCTAGAAAACAAGCATGGCTTGACACCAACATCGTAAGCTTCTCTGGACTTCTCTGGAAGCATGTTAACAGAAAGCTGGTGATGCACTAGGCTCTTCAGTTCTTTCTAATAGGACCTCTCTAATAAGGATTCTGCAACCTTTTCCTCACAATGAGATGTGTTCTGCGCAGGTTGTAGGAGTTGTGACCAGCAGTTTGTTTCACAAGGCCACAATGATATTTAGTATCAAGCCAGACTGAGGGGACACAGCTTTCTCTAAAGTGAAATATTTCAAAAGTTATTCGTATTTTCTTCATCAGTAGACACTTCTCATCCTTTTCTTCTGATCTTGACTCACATCCAGTAACTAATTACAGAGCGAAATCCTACAACCAGTTGTTGATAAAGGTCTCCAAAGATATCTCTCTTCCTGATAGTTTAAGATCCCTCACAGATACTTTGTCTACTATATTCCGTACTGCCTGCCTTAACTAGTAGGGGCATTCAGGCCCCTAGTTTGCAATGTACTTAGGTTTCTGTCACTCACTGTAAGAACAACAGGAATAGTAAATAAGTAACAGCAATACAGGATTACTGGAATTCACAGCATTATACGTACCTTTAGGACCTGCTCTAAGTTCTCCAGCTTGGCTTGGAGCTGGTGTTTTTCCTTTACAGCCAAATCTCGTTCTTTAGTCACTCTGATAAGGGTTTCTCTAAGATGTTCATAGTCTGATTTCACCTAGAAAAATAAAAATGTGATTACCCCCTGAGCAGATAATTAACTAAGGAAAAAACATACCTGACACAACATTTCCCCATGTGAAAATGAAAACAGGAAAAAATTGAAAGAAAAAAGAAACAACTATATAAAAATAGCTGGAAGGGAAAAATTCAATAAGGAAATGGTGTGCATCTCACACATGCACGCATGAAACACACATTTTCTTTTGACAAGGACTACAATCTGACAACCAAATTGTAATTATGTGAAAGCTTAAATAAGAGAGCTAAACAAATATACTACTTAACTTACAAAATAAATGACAATCAAACAATTTCTAATTTCTATGGATCTCAGGGGTATCAGAGATGCGTATACATAGAAACATAACGCATACATTGTATGTTTTCCTGGACTATTCTTTAGTATTGTTGACTTCAGAATAAAATAAAAAATTACAATAACATGTATGATCTGCCTGTGCTAAAAGGCAATATTTGAAATCAGTTTTTCACCAATTCAAAAATGTGCATTCTTATGCAACAAATCTCTTGCTCTCCCTTAAAATCATTGGATACAGCTGGCAGGATAGCAAACAATGCTGGCAGGATTACTGAGTAAGGAAAGGCAAAGCAGTATGAAGTACCGGGAAAACGTGCAGGTTTTAAACTTGGTGCAGCTCATCTTTCCTCCTAAACTCAGTCAAGGAGTGACAAGTTCTTTTTTTTTTTTTTCCTTCCCATTTAATTAGCGTAATTTTACGCTAATTTAATTAGCGTAGAACTAAAGGCATTAAGCAATCTCCAACACCGGTATTCCCTAGAGGATTTCCAAAGGGACGTTTTGGAAACTGACTCAGCCTTTCTATTTGCCTTCTGGCTCCAGTTAACTGTTAACTCGCAAATTCTGCTCTGCACCAAACAATCTAAACTGCTCAAGCCAACCCTAGTATTCATCTTTGTAAGGAGCTTTTTAGAGTGCAGTGGACTAGAAAAAAAGAGAGAAACGGAACAAATCATGTTTTCCACAAGAACTGATGCAATTATTGCCAACCTCAGGATTTTTTATACACAGATTTTTCTTCTTCTTTTCCTGCATTTCTTTTAACTAAGGAAACTACTAAACAATGGATTTTCAGAAACTATTAACTTCCTGCATCCTTTGTATTGTATTTCACTGTTCACATCACTCAAGGCATATTGTTGGAAAATAATGGAGCAGAAAAACAAAGCAATAAGGTATTGCCATCAACAACACAGGTTTGCTTTGTCTGTGGTTCTCAGTTAATTTACTGAAGATGAATGAAAACAAAGGTTTTGAACAAGTTTTAATAAAAGATTACTTTCCTCAGGCTTCAGCTTTCCCTATCTCTAAAATAGATGATACTGACTGACTACCTTTGTAAAGTCTTTTCTAAAACTTACTAGTCATTTTAGCCTAAATATTTTGGGGAATTAGTGAGCACGGTACCTTTCTGCTACGTCTTTTTTCCAGTTGACAGTGAAAGGGCTATAGGCTACAAACAGTACCTACAAGACCGATGAGGTAATTTAGGAAAGATATGAATTACAAATGGGTAGCACTGTAGTTGTTTTACACATCTCAAGATCTCTCATTCAGGATCTCAAAGCACACCAGCCAGACTAGTCAAAGCTTAGGAACAACTGCCTTCCCACCACTGCCTTCACCAACAGCCTTCTGATAATTACCCTTGTTTTATCTAGCAATACTCCTCAGCCAATACTGTGATATAAGTATTTATAGAACCCATAAGGCAGCATAAAACTTGCAAGTTTACCATTTGCTTATTTTTGTTTATATAAAACTTGTCACTAAATACAAATTGAATGATCTCTCCAGCAGGCTGTTTAAGAACATATGGGCCTACATGAACTTGGATTACACACAGAACACAAAATATCAAAGTTCCCACTGGCAAAAAAGCTGACCTAAATAGAGTAACATCATAAGCAGTTCTAATTTAATGAAAGAAACACAGGGAACATTTTGATCTGTGATAATTCTCTGTTCAATGCATTAACCAACTTCCTCTCCAAGCCATACCTTCCCACTTATTAAATTTGCCCTCATCTGAGTCAATTATGAAGGCCAGAACATTGCTAAAGTGTCTTCCATGTTCTGAACTACAAATCCAGAAACTAGTTACCGGAAAGAGAAACCAGCAGTTTATTGCATTGGTGAAAAGGTCCATCAGGCAGCTAGTGAAAGACTATTTCTTCCTGTGCCAAATACAGCTTTCTTTCACTAATACGCTCAGACTGAAACATGTTCTCTGCCACTCAAAATTTCCTACGCTGCACATGAATTACAAGTGTTGAACTTTAACTACTGTGCCTGGCATACAGAAAAGCAATCTAAAACTCTTTGCCTTAATCCCAGATTTAGTGATCTGCCAACTTTTCACACAACTGATATTACTGAGAAAACATAATTCACAAACTACCATAGAAATGTTAGGTTTTCAGTTGTATTTTTTCCCAGAAATAACTTATGAGCATATAATGCATATAAAAACACCCACCCATATCTATTCAGATGAGCAGGGAAACGAATCAGAGCCCAGTGTCTAGATGCTACTTCTAACAACACAATATTCTTTCACAAGTACTCCGCTCCAGGAAGGCAACTTTGCTTGTCCTGTACAGAGTGCCAAAACAACACTGTGCATAACTGACGTACAATTTAAGATTGATTTTGAGGATTTAAAGCCAGGGCAGTCTTGTACCTGCTCTTTTCTAGGGTCAAACTTTAGCAATTGCACTGCATAATAAATAAGCAACAGTTTTATCTGCACTACGTAACAGAACAGATATACACTCCTGCAACCCGCCTTTCAGTGCTTTCTCCCTCTGTTAAAATTCTCCTCTGACTTCAACATGTAGAAGGTTTTATAGTTGCACAGTTTCTGAAATAGTACAAAGTAACCTAAAGTGCACAACAAATCTATCTTCAACCTCATTTCATGTGTGGTAAAAAACAATGCAAGTCACTCCCTCAAAATACCTGCTATGCAATCCAGAACACACAGATTTGTTAATATAAAGTATGCTGCACAGATCCTCATCTCTTGCATATTTCTAAAGTTGTCAAAGGCAAGAGGGTATACGTAAAGGAAGTCTTTGATCCTATTGAGGCTATGACGCTAAATAGCGTGCCTTTCACAGTATTTTGTATATTTGAAGAAACAAACATCCATAAAACAACAAATTCTGACCCTATGATAGTAAAAGGTAATTTTACTGTTAACTCCACTTAGGTTGACATTTCACTTGTATATTTTAAATTGCTTTTACTAGGTTGTTCAATATATCTCAAGTTCTTTACTTGAGTAGGAAACAAACTTTACCTATAGTATAATATTAATTGCATAGATCCTCACCTTCTGATAATAAAAGAAGGCTAACATTTTTAGAGTCACGAGTGCACTAAGCTTTCACTGCATTAATACTGCATGTTATATCTGTGTCAGCTAGATTACAAAACTGCCTAAGTAAGGTTCTTATCCGTTATGTGCCTAGTGAAATAAACAGTAAGGGTGATGTATAAGCAACAATAGAGAGAAGAGAAAAGCATTAGGAGAGGCAGAAATTCTAGACAGATGGATGAATAAAATTAACTGATGCTATCATCCACATAGTTTCCTTCTATCGTAAAGAAATTATTACACTGCTTGCTTATCTAAAAACAATTTACATTCTTCACCAAACCTGCAACAGGAAATTTCAGGTCTACTTGGACACCAGGTGCAACACGCAAAATGTAGAGTACGTGCACAGCTGCCTTTGAATATCTTAGTAATTTGGCCTGTTTGTCTTAGGGACTAAATAAGACCTCCTTTGGTCTGGAACTTCAACACTGGGCTACTCCATGCCACATACACGTCAGAGATATTGAAATATACAGTCATCGCTGTTTTGCGCGTTTTGGGGATGGGCTTTCATCAGAGCCTATGTGAGTAATGGCTGTTCTGATGCGAGTGAGGTTGCTGAGCAACTCACTTAAGCCCTGTAGAAATCCCAGATTGGAGTTTTATTTTTAGCTAAATGAAGCCCTGTAAAGGGGCTGGTTCGTGATGTTTCTTCCTTCCACTGTGTGCCTATTCGGTGAGGTGAGGCACATCAGCGCCTTCGCCCTTGCTACTCACGCCATGCAGTGTTTGCCACAGATATAATCCCTGTAGTCAGAAAGATATATTTTGTCCTGAAACAGGTATTTAAAAAGAAAAAAAAAAGAAAGAAAAATGCTTGCTATTAAAGCGGTTTTTCTATCAGGACCTGGAACAGCTGAGACATGGAGTTGTGTCACATGCCACGCTACAGGGGAAATGACAACTGCTCAGCAGAGTTTTGGACACATACTGCTGAAAAACAGCATTTCAACGTTTTATTGAGAAATTGAAAAGTGCAAAGAAAAAATGCAGAGTGGAAGGAAACAAAAAACATGTTAGATAAAAAAAACACTTCCATCAGTGTTTCGGGTTTTTTGTTGGTTTAGTTGTTTGGTTTTGGGAAAAAAGGAGAATTTTCCAGGGAACACTCTTAAAAATCACTGGAAAAGGCTTCTTTTTACCACAGCCTAATACCAATTTACAATATTAAGAAATGATGCATGAGAGTATTAATGCATCCCTATAAAGCTTATCAGTGGGTTTCAAATTTAAAGTACATTTGTTGATAAAAATAAATTTGTGTAAATGATCTTTAATTAAAATATTTTATGTACTCAAGAAAAACCAAGTAAAGAAGAAAAATGGTTGTACAATCCACTTTCATCCACTCTGCAGCCTGACTTCTGTAACAAATGAATGCATGAGTTCTATGTCTGTGATGTTACCTGGTCATATTGCAGTGCTTTGTGGGACACACTTGCATACTGAAGGCTCAGGCGATTCTTTTCTTGCACAGCATCCTTCAGTTCATTTTCCTAAAATACAGGTAAAGGGTGTTACAGACCATTTATCTCCATTATGTTACATCCTATGAAGTGCTAAAGGAAGCAAAATTTTGCATTGTTTGGTATTAACAAACTATTGTGACTAATAACAGGCACAAAGCCAAAGGCATTGAAAGTGCAGAAGCAGCAGATTAGCTTGCAACTACTGTTAGCTCTATCATAAAAACACAGTTTTTCAGTAGATGATCTGATTAAAGATGTGCAGACAAAAGGAGATGACCTGACATCACAGGTCTGGTGTCTATATCTGCCCGTGGTTGTAAGAAAGTGCTCAAACCTGGCTGCCTCTCTTAGAGCTGGGAAGAGATTTGGCTCCTAGAAAAAAAGCAATGCTCTCAAACTTAGGGGATCACAAGGCCAAAAAATCAACAACTAGAATATCTATTCATTTATACTTTTTTGCACTTTTTTGTATTTGTATAAACACTCTGTATATATTATATTTATATATTTATATTCAGTTATATATGTAATATGTTATGCATATGCAATATGTAATGTACATGTGTATGTAATACAGTGGTAGGCAAATCAGAAATGCACACCAAAGTCAATAGATCAGTACTCTCCTTCTAAACATCAGGGTATTACTTCAGTCTAAGGTATATATCTTTATTTATTTATATGGCACTATAAGAAGGTGGAAACAACTTAAAATAAAATTCAAATATACAGTCAAAGGTCAAAATGAGTGGAAAAACACTTTCTCACATCACATAAAAAATTCACGGAGCTCAGGAAAAACAGCAGTGTCCACTGGTAGTTCTGAGAACCTCATTTTTGCATGAGTTTATGAAGATAGTTCTCTGAGAACAAATCTCTCACACCATCACAAGGAAAGTGAGTACTGAAAACATTCCAGAAATTCGTGAGATCTGACTGAAAGGTTGGGAGGACTCAGGGGAAAAGGTTACGCACTAGCCAGACTGAGAGTTTCCAGCCAACTAGATTTTAACTGTTATATCAGTAGTAAAGCTGAACTATCTCAACAATTCAGTCCCCCTTCTCCCTCCCTGCTTTACGAGTTAAAAAATCTAAATGTTGTGACATCAACAGCTTATGAAAGCTGCAACTCCGCAACCAGTCATGCTGGGCAATGTGGAATCTTTCAACCTACAGCATTTCCATTCTCCGTTATCCCTTGAAAACTTTGCTTAGATTTGCCAAAAAAGTATATTAAGATGTGCAAGACTTGCAAGCAAAACTGGACCCACTTTTGTGTGATTTGCAAAAATCCACACTATTCAGCAGAGTTCTCCAGAGCTCTTCTAATTCTGCTTAGGTCTTAAGAAAAACTGCTCATTTAATTTCTCTATAAAATTCTTATTATGAAAAAAACTGCAATTGTTCATTTTTGGTTTACCAAATGTAGGCCTCACAAAAGAGGAATTTTTAAATTCTGATATTTAAATATTTTTCACACTACGTGAACCAAAAAATTTGTTATTGTAAGCATACCATTTCCTAAATCAACACTTTCTTTCAACACTTTCTCCTTATAAGACACATTTTGAATAGATACACAGTATTTTCAATGAACCAAAACTGTTAAACTATTTATCTAAATTATTTTCTAAGCATCATTAGTTTTGAGTTGTCAGAACTAGCAAAACTTACAGGTTTCTGCCTAATGGCTATTTGACTTTGATATCTAAGAAAGTGGGACCGCCGAATGAGGTTTTTGTTACATGGTACGTGCAGCTTTTCCTGCAACAAATTACTTTTAAGATCAAACCTGATTAAAATTAGCCACTGGCTTCAAAACTTATGGGGTCACATACCGAGTTAGTAGGCTCATATGAATCACAGGAAACAAGATTAAAATGCCTGTTATGTAAAATGTCTCACACAGAAGAGGCCATTCTGAGTTCTTCTAGGTGAAACGGATTTTAACAGACCAATTCATTCCGCAGGTAACATTCCATTTCTGACCATGCTCTGAATGGTGGTCTGACAACCAAGTTTGAATGTAAACAAAGGACAACAAAAATATTTAGTTCCCCTTAAGTAATGACGTTATAAAGCACCATCATCTTACAGTATCAGAACGACTCAATGTTTATTGTAAGCTGTCCTTTGACTGCTAGATGTTAAGCGCTACTGCGATGAACTGAAAACAACAAAAAAGAAACTGCAGAATATTCAGTCTCCTAACTACAGATATACCTATTATCTCACCCATAAGGTGCTCAGCAATTACAATTTCTCAAGTTCTGTTAAATCTGTTGTTTAGGATGCAATTAAAAGTGGCAGGCGCGCCCTGTGAGATGCTAGACTGTTCTGAGGGCCAAAACAAGGAGAATTTCTTAGCTCATGCTACATTTTAATAGGTGCGAATTACATCAGTAAATATTTTTACAACATGAGCAAACTGCACTGTACCGTTCCTTGGATATGCAAATAAATCACTGTGTGCTATTAATTACTGAAAGTCACTTGTAAAACAATGTGCATCTATTCCATACTTTACAAAGGAAAAATAAGCTACGCTGCCTGCTTTGAAACCCTTACAAATTACAGGCTGTACCCTGCAACACTTACGTTACGCCAGATTTAACATGGACTTTAATGGATCAGTTTGCATTTGTTACAAATCAGTACTGCCCAGCTGACTTTAATGTGGAATAAGTGACAAGGAGTTCTTAAATGGGGAGAGGAAGGGAAAGGCGAGGTAGAGTAACTGACATGAATCTAAGCATCCTTCCCACCCCACTTAAATTCTCCAAAAAGGAAACTGGTTTATGAGAGAGAGCAGAGCAATAGGGCTGGCTGTTAATCCTACCTGAAGAAAATACCTGTTATCATGTTACTTGCAAGGCTGAATAGAAGTTGGGCAGTAACCGTCTCAGTTTCTCTGGTCCTTACTTATAAATCTACTTCTATTATATTCCTGTTCATTTTAGTGTCAATACCTACGTTCCTCATCCCAATCAACGTCTTAATGATCTTGACCCTGAACCTGGTGATCTTATTTAGATTGTTTGCTCTCAGAAAAAGCATTAAGGCACAAATGATTGATCAAAGTCTCAATAATGTGAGGTAAAGCCAGAAGTTGAACCTAACTCTCCCAAGTTTTAGCCAAGTTCCTTTATCTGATGATGAGAGCTGTCACAACTACTGCCAACTTATAAATTTGCATATTAATTTCAAAACGTGTTGATCTGAGTCACCTCTCAACAAAAATAAATCCATACAATAAGGGCTCTGATAGAAGAATTCTGGCAGATTTAGCTGCAATAGTTTAAATAGCTACTGCATGTTATTATCACTCATGTCCTTCTGCAAAAGTTATCAGAATAGCCATCTTTCTTATTTTCTCTTCCACCTCAGTTGCAGTCTAACATTTTAGTTAAACTACTCATAAAGAAAGGTTTCAATGCCCATCTACTGCCCAGTAAGTGGCTGTGGTATATTTGGACACAGACCCTTTCTTGGCCTGGTATAAGAACGATAACCTCCAGCAAAGGGACAGGTATCCAGCTGGGAACAGCAACATTTTAAACCACTGCAGCTAAATCCACCAGAACACATGTTTCAGATTCCTACCATATCACCATAATCACAGATAATAGCAATTTTTTTCCTATCAAGTATCACGGGATTGGGCTACTTTAAAGCTCTTTTGCCATCTCCGCAAGGACTGCAAGATAGGAACAATAATTATTAACTTGATATTCAACTTCTTTAAAAAGTTTTTACAACTTCTGAGATGTGCTTGCGATTTTGGAACAACATGTCAGCCTTCAATGGGCTGGATCAAGGAAAATATTCTCCACTAACAATCTAAAACAAGCTGTCTACCCAGAATTTCCCCTTACATTCATATTAAAAATAAAATGGAAAGAAAGAAAAAACAAGGAAGTTAAAGTTACGCTCTTTGGCACAGTAGGCAAAGCAAGAGAAAGGAGGCTTGCACTTGTTCACCTCACAGGAGAAATATTACATAAGATCAGGAAAAAAACATACAGATGAAGTTATCCATCTCACTTGTAAAATTCCTTAGGATGCTTTCATAACTCAATCACATAAAACTTTCACATCTGGTGAATATATTTCCCTGGTCTACAAAAATGCTCAGCAGTCAAACATACACAAGCTGTATCTAATGTTCTGTACGTGGAGAAACGCGATGTTCACAGAACTCCCAGCTTCCCCTATGATGAACTCATTGCATACAGTAAATGATTTTTAACTTTCCTTTTTTCACTCTGCCCATTCTTATTACTTATCTGCATGGGAAAACATTTCAACAGTATACGACTCAAATATTTTGTATCCTATAGCAGAAAACAGCTGAACATAACAAAAAACAACAGTATTGCTAATTCAGCTGGGGTTTTGGTGATCTCATAGAAAGGAAAGCAACAATTAAAATCCCTGCTTTTCTCAGCGCCTTCTTGGAATAACAATCTTCTGTTTGATCTATGGAAAGGAGCTGCAGAAACACAAAATATTCCCATGTTTGCTTATTATTTAACAGAACCCTCAGCTGAAAATCAGATTTGTTTGTTGGACAAATAAAGAGGAAGAGACTATCACTACTCTAAAAAAGTCTGTTTTTTAAATTGAGAAGACAGAGAAGCAGCATAAAAGGAAACAGAGATATGGAGAGATCAAGTCACTTGCCCAAGGTCACGCCCCAAACCAAGAGGTTGGATGGCAGATCTACTCCCAATCTGCGTTCTCACATACTAGCCCAGTTGTTTGCCATGGCCTGAGAGTAACCTGGATTGGTTGGATTAACTGAAGCAGCATGTAGTTATTGCCCAAATGAGCACACAGACTAGCTTCTGTGTATCACAGAATGTGATCATGTGTATCTGTGTATCATGAGTATCACAGAATCACACGAAGCTGGGGGTGGAAGGAACCTCTGAAGATTGTCTTGTGGAACCCCCTGCTCAAGCTGGGTCACCTAGAGCACGTTGCCCAGGCCCATGTCCAGCTGGACATTGAATATCTCCAAGGAT